ATGTATGTATGTATGTATACGTACATCGTACATGGATACCGGTATACATCATGCACACATACATACCTACATGCGTGCATAGGTACATGCACACACACACACACGGACAGTGTGTGTGTGTGTCGATGCATGTGTGAAATTTGTGTCTGTGTGTTTTACACACTCTTCGCTTCACCGAGCTCACACGTCCAGGTCACGCTTTGTCTCAAGTGCAGAGGGCACATCTGCCGATCTGCGTCAGCATGATACCATTACGGCTGGCAGCCGCGCGCTGTGTGTATCTGCATGTGTGTACATGCACTGCTGCTTCAGTCAGTCGGCCTGTCGGCATGTCTCTTTGGGCGTCTCCGTGTCTGCACGTACACGTGTGTGTGTGTGAATAAATAAATAAATATATTTAAAATAACGATATATATATATATATATATGCGTGTGTGTGCCCGCGTGTGACTGTGTCTCCTCCTTCCTTTGTACGTGCATATGTGAGTGCATGAGCGAGCGAGGGAGGGAGTGTGTCTGAGCGGTTTTTGCTTTTATGCATGCCTTGGTGCTAATGTGCATTCGTGCGCGCATGTGTGCGTTGGTGTGCGTGCTGTGGGCGTGGCTAGGTAAGGATGCGAAAGCCAAAGAAAGAGAGCAATAGAGAGAGAGAGAGAGAGAGCGCGAACCCTGGCGAAAGAAAAAAAACATCCATACCCCGAGCACCCAAGCAAGCAATAGACGGCTGCCTACCCTCCAAGCCGTCCAAGCCCCTGAGGAAAGCACAGAGAGAGAGAGAGAGAGAGAGCGAGAGTGCTCCCCTGCAGCACATCCCTGGCGAAAGAAAGACGACTCAGACTCGGACACAGTCGTGGCGCGGTGCGCAGCAGAGTGGGGATATATCCCAGTCCCCAAACTCCGATCCCTAAGTAGCAAGCAAGCAAGCACGTAGGCAGGCAGGAAGGCAGGCAAGCAGGCAAGCAAGCAAGCCAGTGTGTGTGTGTGTGCGTGTGTGCGCGTGCAGTTTGCAATGGGTGGTGTCAGTGTGGTGGATGGTTTTAAGTGCATGTCGGCGAGTGAAAGTGCCCTGCTTGTTGACAGCCTCAGGACCTGACTGCGATGCACATTGCCGGAATGCGTGAGCGCAACACCGCTGGTGGCGGGGCTTTGGACGCAATCTCTGCATTCAGGACGGCACCTGTTACTACTGGCCAATCAAACCGTGCAGTCAGCCACAGCCACTCATCACTAATCTGCTGGGGCAGGTTCAACTGGAAGCTGGATGGTACTACGGACCCAATTCTGAGAAAGTTGTGCCACAAAGACCTTCGCCTCTTGGCAGGGAGCCATTCGCAGCTGTGGATCGTGTGTCGGTGCTTATGCCTAACGATGCCCACTCTCTAATGTCCGTGTGTGTGTGTGTGGGTGTGCTTGCTCGTGTGTCTGTACAATTGGATTCTTATGCCTTATGTGAGTGTAAAATTGTCGCTAAGGGTCAGAAAAGATTAAGCTGAAGCATGCATATGCCGCACATCCGAAGAGTGGGCATCTAACAAAGAGGCTCTTCGACATGTGCGGATAGAGACTGGGATGCCTGCTATGGCCAGCCCAAAACACCCTGAATGCATTGTTGATTCATAATGGCCGAGAAATGATTCAGATCAAAGTCGAAGCAAAAGCGAGAAACTGAATGAGAAGTGTAACTAGCTTACTAAGTTGCAGCTTCGGTTATATCCAGGGTCGTTCCGAACGTGTGTGTGTGTGTGTTGTGATTAAGGGAGCTTAAGGCCCCCGTATACTTGTTTGTGAGTGTCAGTGTGATGCAACGGGGCGGCACGAAATATGTCAGATCAAGCTGTTGTTGAGAGTTTCCAAGGCAGTAGGTGAATTGACAGATCGCAGTAGACTCCCACAAAAGCCGAAGGCCTCTTGGCGCTGAGTGTGCGACAACAGGATAATGTAAGCAGCTGCGCTGTTACGCCTCTGCCGACTGGCCCCATTCTCTGCCAGCTGTACCTGGCAATTAGCATGGTTCGCCATGGCCTCCACGCCCTTCACTGAGTCCTATCCTGCACCAGAGAGAGAGCCTAGCAAGCCCTTCGTACCGTACCCGGAGTGAAGTGAAGTGCAGCCCTAGCAGGCAGCAAGCACGCAAACGAGAGATTGGGGGAGAGAGAGTGAGTGCTGCTCGTGGCCGGTGACGACCACTGGCGACTGCCAAACGGCGTCACCGATCCACCGCCCCTCTGCGAATCGCGAGGGCGAGACTAGCAGCGGGTGGGACACCGTTTTCGGCTAAAAGCCAGGGGAAGTGCTGGGCCCTCGAGTGCTGGAGCACGGCGGCCAGTACATCCCTAACCACGGCACGTTAATCAACTATCACAACAGGCGACATGACTCCATTGACGGTCGTTCCGGACAACCCGAACTCCTGTCCTCCCTCCGGTGCTAGAGTCGAGGGAAAGGTCCTGCCGGTGGCCACAGCGTGATGGCCAAGACCACTGGTTTCTGCTTGGGAGCCACCTCCATGAAGGAAGTCTGTATGTGGGTCCTGGCAACTACGACCAGCGAAATCTTCCGGTCCTTGAGCTGGCCTGCCTCCTGGTCTTTTGTAGAAACTTTGGGAAGCTCACAGTGGAACCAGATAGACACCCTCGCTGCAGACAGCACTACCATCACCTTTCCAAATGCCCCTTAGCAAGAAAGGGAATTTTTGAGTGCTCATCAAGGTCATCATGGCCGAGCGCGATCAGCACAGCATCCACTCGGATCGTCGCTCCTACTTGGAGGCCCCTGGCCCGGCATCCGGCCGATGGCTTCATCAGGGCCAGTGTGTGAACTGAGTACAGTACGTTTCGTGGACCATCTGCCCCCACTGCGCAGCTACTCAGCTCGGAGGAGCGGCAAGGCGAAGGCGAAGCCAAAAAGCTCGACGATTGGGGACACCTGCGCTTACCTCTTGGCCGATGGCCGACCTACGAGTACAACCAGCGTGAGGCGCTGTGCCGAGGGCCAGCGCACGGAAGGCGATGGTCCTCGCATGTCAGCAGATGCCGGCCAGATGACAAACGCACATGCCGGCACGATGGAAGGGACGTCCTTTGCACCAGAGGCCTCCGACATGAATGTGGGCCAGGCAGCGGCGAGGATGGCTCAAGAGACTTGCGGCGTGCCGTGGACGTTGACAATGCCGAGAAGTCCAGTGAGTCCTGGTAGGGACACGGCGGAGAGCCCCAGCAGCCAGGACCTCCTCAAGTATAACCCTGGCCGCCTCCTTAGCGTCTTGAGGACTTGGCGACAACACCAATAGCTGGGTTCTTCGTTGACGATGATCCTCAAGAACTACTTCCATCTCTGGGCTCGCGAAGGAGCACCCTTCTGCAGGCTTTTGCGGGTGTACTCACTGGACTGTTGGCCGAGCCATTCAGCCTTGCTACTGGACTTGTGACATCGTCCTCCGACTGTGCTCCTCTTGATGGAGCCGGAGACCCCCCGGGCCTTGCCAACTACCTACTGCACCAAGTCGCTCACACAAACACTGCCTCATTTGCGCAAGCTGAGCGCAATAAATAAGAATGACATCAGCGCATGCTCAGATAACCGAGCTTAACAACAAGCGCCACAAAACAAACAGATTCTGTATGCAGAATCTCTGTGCAATCCTTCCCAGACTTTCTGCGACACCAGCTCTTTGAGTGCCCGACGAAGTGGGACAGCTGCTTGAGAGTCCTCACGTAAGCCGCTCGAAGTCAGTAGCTCCAATGTGTCCAGTGCCCCGCTGGTCCCGGACAAATTTGTACGCTTGTAGTAGCTCACGTCCTCCGAAGTCCTTGTCCAGTGTAGAAGCCGAGAGAACCTACCGGCCCAGACATGTTGCAAGTGTGGTACCTCAAGTGAACCAGACTGCCTTGACGGCAAACACATCAAGAGTTCGCCGGCTTCCGACAATGTGTGACGAGGGGCATTGAGCACAAATCTTGAAATCAACATGTACAGAAGGTGTTCATTCAAGAATGCCAGCTGATGTGAGTGCTATCAAAAATTCTTCGCCCTCTGCTACTTCTGTGAGGAGCACTTGTAAACTTGTAGGCAGAAGCAGTGAACACTTGGTGTGACCATTGGCAAACGCTTGTTTGTGCGCTCGGTTCAGTTAATTTGCATGCGTGTTAGTTGAATGCTGTGCAGTGTACTTGCAGCTCACTGATATCGGCTGCGACATCAGGGGTGTGCATGTGTGTGTGTGTGCGCGTCTGTCTCTAAGGATGCAAGGACATGTTGCTGAGGTTGCGAATCATTGCCGGGTGCGCGAGCTCCTTGAACATAGCATAGCTCGCGCCAGCAAGGCTGTATGTCACGTGACAGGTACACGCGCCTTCTTGGCGCATCTGGAGAGAGTTACTCCATCTTGCGGCCACAATAACAAACATGTTGTTGCTGGAAGCGTGCAATCGGAGGGTGGGAGAGATATAAACAAGCTAGCCCAAACAGTGTCCATCCAAGTAAGGATGACTGGTCTGCAAGAGAGAGAGCGAGAGAGAGATCACCCTTTCTTCTTGAAAGCCCCCACAAGACCCCTAAAACGGGGGTGCGCCATCCGGCGCGGGGTGCTTGACACGCACCTCATGCCGCGGAGAACAGAACAACAGAACAGAGAGATCACAGTCCCTTCAAAGCCCCATAACATATGGGGGGCCCATGCGGCCGAGGGACCTGACCCGTCCCATGGAAAAAGGGATGGAAGTTGCCGTCACGGTGGGACAAACATGTTGCGGCTTGTCAGGACTCCGCCCGACAAGTGTGTAACTGTAACCCCCCAACCTTGCAGCAGGAACTTCGGACGATACAGCGCCTGATACGCGGAGCAGCAGATCATGACCCCAACTCGCTGTTTCTCCGTTGTCCGGTATTACCATTCGTTGCTGTTGCGCGCATTCGGAGTCAATTCGTAGACAGGTCGGTTTCTCAACTGTGCAGGATGGGCACAAGCAAGCGGTTTTCAGTTGGAACCGACGCCTTCCATGTGCAAGGGTCCCACCTACAAACAGTTCATGAAGGCTTGGCCGCAGCACTGTCTTCCTTGATGCAGGTGTTGTTCCACAAAGGCACCTGAATTCTGTTACAGGCACTTTTTAAAGCAAGCGTTGGGAGACATTCAAGACATGGATCCCCAGGATGAACAGCAAGATTTGGTGCACACGATCTCCTCGGCTTCTTCAATTCAGTTCCACATGCCCTTGTTAATCCGCACAATTGCTACAATGGATGCTACAACAGCACCTGCGAAGGACATTGGCAGCACTGCTTTTCAGGTGGATTGGAAAGCTGGGGCGAAGGACTCAGAATCTTCAGGGGACGACAACGATTTCGCAACTCGAGGAGACATGTCTACATGCACGACATGTCAATGAGCTGACACAATTTCTGTGAAGGTCGTCCTACTTCAAGGTAGGCCTTGATACGTTTCCGAAGATTCAAGGTGCCAGCATAGGATCACCTCTTGCGGCTTCTTACGCCAGTGCTTTGTGCTTTAGTGGCCGCTGAACAGAATAGCTTCTGCTTCGCCAGCTTCAGAGGCCAACTTCAGGACGCAGGCCTTCTGCGAGCTTTCCGATATGCAGACAACAGGCGTCTCTTCTTGCGCCAATCCGAACTCCAATGTGAGTGAGTACAGCTGGCTCTTCAGATTGCCCATTGAGCTGGAAAGCGTTCAGGCGCAGAGCTTCTAGCATCAGCCACTTCGACGACGCAAGAAGCCATTACCGTGCAACAGCCGCAGGACATCATCGCCCTCAGGTCACTTCGATCCGTGGGCCCCACGGCCCCCGCCACAGCAGCCATGTAACGCCATGCCAGACCGGTGCAGGTGGATGACTTAATTGCGCCCAATCTGCCCAGAGGTTTCAGTTTGCAGGATTTCAAGACTCATGGTCGCCGCTTGCGTCTGTGAAAAATCAGGCCAGCGCCTCGCCCGTCTTTCTCACGTGATCCAGCAGCTCAGCCAGAATTACGGTGCACAAGACATATCCTCTGCCGTTTTCTCAGATCGCCTTCGTCCTAGCTATCCGCCAACTTGAGGGAACATGTTCAATCGGCTGCCGAACGAAGCAATTCAGCGCATGGTCGGTTTCCTCGTCCAAATAGTCTTGAAAATCGGTTTCATGGACGTCGCATGGCAGCCGGAGGGGCTCTGGCCCCTGCTATGGGAGGAAGCAATAGAGCACACCAAGGACAGAGTCGGCAACTAGTGCGTGCTCTACCAAATCCCCCCATGGTGAGGGGGGGGCAGCTCTTGGCATGTCATCGCGCGATGTGCACCCCTGAGCTTGGCAGTGATTGCCCGCCTCGCCAGCGTGTCCAAGCCGTGGGTGAAACCCATGCTGTTAGTCGCATGGTCAGGTCAAATCTTCAACGCCAAGGACATACCAAGAATGTGTGGTAAGATCGATCAGCCGTGGCGGATGAACAAGAAGTCTCAGGAGGAAATACAATGCGCAGGAATGAAATCGCTGTATCAGATCAGTGTTTGCAGATTGCTTTGCAAAAACAGGATTGCTCGAAGTCCATTTCAAGAACCTCCAGCTGGCACATCATAGGTTCTGCCCGGATCGAGTACACAGGAATCTTGAACCCCGCCCGCTGACCCTCAGACACTGTTTGCCCCAACATGTCTCGATTGCATCAGGCAGAGGCATGTTCCGTTATACCTGCTTGTGTCAGTCCGCTACACGGCAACCTGATTCCAGTGAGGGCCTAAGATCAGTCATGTGCAACCGTTTCGGATTATAGCTAAGTGCGTGCGTCGGAGCAGCCATGAACAAAACCGCAGCGGAAGCAGGATTCCCCACGGAGTCACACCTCGTGCGCAGGTGATCGCACGTGGAAGTGTGCTTGCCAGAGAATCGCTGCGCAAGATGGCAGTCTTTAAGGTTGCTTAACGTGCCACTCTTCAGACTCCGTCGACCACGTGAAGAAAATCTTGCAATGCTGGGTCAAAGAGGTTAATTACGGGATGCATGCAGGCCACAGCTGAACTATTTCAAGTTGCGCCAGAACGGAAGACATGTGGCGTTCACTGCGCCGATAACAGCTTTCAGAACATTTGAGCTAGTGGTCTCCGCACGAGGAGCTCCAAATCACTCCGAGGAATGCAAAGACCTCTCAGCCTCAGCGTGATGCATTCGGATGCGAGTTGTTAGAGAACGTGCGTGCATGTACCATAATACCTGCCGAGTGACTTTAATACCAGGGGTAGGGGCCGTCAGTCATGGAGTCAGCCAGCTTTGACTTGGATTCAGATCAGGAATCGATTCCGGACTCTGAGGTGCTGAAAGCATCGGAGATTGAAGCCAATTTGTCGTCTTGAGAGCCTTGACGACGTCAGATCAGACGAAATCTGCAACAACATCAAGTCAGAGCAACGGCTGACAAACCCCATCCTCTGAGGTCGGCGTCAAGGATGGCATCCTTAGGACAATCCCGTGCCCCCGCAAGCAATTTACTAATCGAATGGCTGCGACGCGACATCTAGACGACACTTTCTACATTCCGAGGCGTGCTGAGCTTTTACTTCAATTCCTAAAACATCATGGTCATCAGAGCTTTTCGACTCAGCCTTGGCGCAGGTTCAGCACCACATTACAGCTGGTGCAACATGTGTTGTCTCGATAGGAACCTGGACAGACTGCAATCGTGTGTGTGGGGGAGCCTTGATTCTAAGCTAAAGGTTTCTGGAGAGATGCGTCGCTTTGCAAATTTCAGCAGCAGAGGGTGGCAGCAGGGACCGAGGCTGCCACCAACGAAGACACTCTGGTTTCCCTGTTGATGCGCGGTCTCATCAGCCGTGTGTACCCGCAACTTGTGACACAATGTATCATCTTCGCTGTGCATTTTGACTATCATTCAAAGTTCAGAATGCCGCATGTTCAGAGCTGTTGCGCATCGGGGATGAAAGCGTCGTTACAATGGAAGCTGCAGGTTGCCGACACTTAGGACTTAGGTTCCTCAGGTTCTGACGTTTTGGCAAGAGCGGCTAAAAGCCTATATCACCTTACATCCACCGTCTCCGTGTGTGTCTGTGTGTGTGTGTGTGTGCTTGCGCCCTGTCGCTAAGGGTCCAAGCAAGCGGGTCAATTTTTATGTGAAGCAGGGCGTGCCAGCAGGGCAGTAGTGCTGGCACCAACGACGACCGTTTTTGTTCCTGGTGATGGGTTCGTGGACGCACGAACCTGTGCCTGCAAAGCCCAGCCCAAACTACCCCCAAACTACCCTTAAATTGCGGTGGATTCACAGTAGCCTTAAAAAGCGAATCCGATCTGACAGAATGAGATTTTGAGTTGTGAGGCAACAGATGTGGTCATTGACTTGCTAGCCCATGTTATTAGCTCCGGCTTACCGAGGCTCGTTCGCTACGTGTTTTTGTTCACGTGTGTTTTGTACTACTTTGGAAAGCTTAGCGCTTTTGCTGCACCGCCTGCATCCTTAGCGACCGGCTTAAGCTACATGCTGCACGCATGCAAGTTTCACCCGCCCTCCACTCCCGATAATCAAGCCGCAAATCGCATAAGCTGTCAGATCGCATATCTTCCCAGCATCGCACTTGCGTCTCACACCTAAGGGGGGCTAGATCAGCTCCGCATAGCAAGGCTATGCAT